AGTTTTTTTAATGGTTACTTTAATTCCTCTAATTTTTACTTTTTCAACAAATGTTTATTGACAGCTTACTAAATAGTAAAGCATACGACACTAAGTCCTAAATTGACACAAAAAGGTATGTCTCCTATAGTTGGAGAAATTAAGCTTTCACTCATGAAGAGATTACTATCACTGCAAGGCAACATATGGGGAAAGCCAAACGAATTATGGAAGAGATCCCTTTTCTCACAGGTGGCAAGGGAAAGCATCACCAAAAGGATGGCCTAAAATGACAGGAAGGATTCAGAAAAGTTGAGAGCATTCTAGGTGAGAGGAGCTAAATGAGGTTCAGTGTGATTTTATTTTTAATAAAGCCTTGCCTGGTACCCAATTCACTTGCACTTATTGAAATGTCTATCAGAAATTCTTCACTGGTACGTCCACATTAAAGTTACTTCTGTGACCAAATCTGATATGGAAAGCAGTTTAATGTAAGACGCGTCTGTCTGGGAGTCTATCCAAGGGGGGCTGCTGTTAGAGACACTTTAGGAGCCTCATCGACATATGGAACTTGGTTCTGTGTCATAAGCTTCCAGAAGACTAACAGAGAAGCCACATTCTACTGAAGAAGTTTTCTCACCTTTCAAGTTATTTGTGGACATCAGTTCTGAAAATTTATGCCCAGGGATATGGGACTTATGAACACAACCTTAAAATGTTAGGGTTGGGTGAATTTCTGACATGTACTTTGTATGCTTTGTTTTAAAAGACAAAGCAGTGACTGTCTTCTGTTAAAATTTGTGCTCATGGGAAATTATTTTAATAACTAAAATTTCAAGTAAGTTTTATGGGATATTTTATTTGTTTATAGATTTTATTGAATAGCTTTATTCATTCATTCATTCATTCATTCATTCATTGAATTACCAGTTTGATGCTGTTTGCTTTTTTCATTCTTGAAAATGCCTCACATTTCAGTACTTGCACGTTTTGTGTTCAGTATGTATATTTTACTCTAAAAAGGAATTTCAAGGATATTTGCATTCTTGATGAAAATTTAAGTCAGTTTAAACTGAAGAAATCCTTTTGTATTATTCATGGATTTGTAGCAGTACTATTAGTATATAATTTTTTTTTCCTGGAAGAGAAGAGTAAAGTAGCATAAGTAACTCAATAACTATGAGGCCAACCAACCCAAACTCTTTGTAACATAAAATGCATTTTAACTTTGGATAAATTCATAAAATATTAATATTCAAAAGGAGTCAGTTGAAGATGAGATTTTCATGTGTGAGATACCTTCCATGAAACTCCCATTCTTTTATTCCATGATTACGTCTTGGGTAATAGTGCCATCTGCTGTGTTCAGCCTAGCACTGCTGCCAGTTTAGAGATCTGTTTATGTTTATTGTCTATAAATGGCATACAGATTAAAATTTTGTCTTTTCAAATAAAAGGTTTATATTGGACTTTGTCATCTTGATTTACTAATTTTAAATGTGTATACCTTTTGATAACATTTTAAAAGAAAATTCTGTAAATGTTGTAACATGTAAAATCGTCAAATATATAACGAAGTAGCAGATGAGCCTAATTTTTATAATATAACATCAGTGGTAACTAATAAGCTTTTTGATTTTAATTTTTCATCACAAAAGAAACAAAATGATTTTCCATGCAGTGAGTTAGTATTGATTGTTTTAGTCTATAGTGACTTAGCTTTCTGACTCCATTATTTGTTATTTTACTACTATGAAGTATGTCTCCCTTCTACTGACATCTTACAGACAGCCTATGAAAGTCATTATATTTACCAATGGTATGTTTATCAAAAAGCATCAAATGCTAGATGTTTCCTCCGTATTTACCATGTTAATATTTTTTAATTCTATAATTTTAATTCTCCCAGTAACTTTGTCACTTATGTTTACCTCATGGTTGATGAATGCAAGATACTTTGTATGCTAGGCATTCATGCCAAGTATATAAACAATAACTAGTTTTCATTCACGTTTTTCTCAGTCTTACAATTGGCACGGGATTTTAAAATGACAAATTGGCATATATAGCTTAACCTCAATTTAAAATAATTTAGTATATATTATCAATGTGCTTTATTCTGCTGCCAAAAATGACAGGGTTATACTCAAGGCATACATTTGTGGACATTGATATTAGAATTTTGAGTATGAAGCAATGTAAACATTTTTATGCCTGTTGTTTTTAGACAGCATGGAGCTGAGCTATTATGAGACTGAAAATGTACATCTCCCATGAATCTCACAATCTTTAACTTAAATATCACTTTTACTCTTTAATTTAAGTATCCTACTCTTTAGTTTAAATACCACCCGTAAAATGGTTCCCACATGGAAAGGCAAAAGCTTTGCTGGTTTATTTTCAGATTGTAAGTCAGGCAAACTGGCTTTCCCCTATCTGCCTGTCACTGTAGTCCTGGATGATCACTGAAAAACCCAGAGATCATGTTCTGTTTTTCTCTAATCTTTCTACTTCCTTTCTTTATAATTTCTCCAGTGCTATTTTGTTGAACATACTGGCTGGTTGTATGTCCATATTTAAATCTATGAACACTATAAGCTTTATACAGCAAGTACTATTGGTGAGCTCACCTCTGACATTTAATACTAATGATGTGCTTTGTAAATCCGAATGAGAGAATATGTTAAGGAAAATTCCAAAGGGTCAAACAGTTGATACATATGAGACATCCTGAAGTCAGAAATATTTGACTTCGCTTGGGAATTAGTGATTTTGAAATAATAGAGAGCTAATGAAGACCTATACAGACAAATTGTTTTCATATTGGCAAATTAAAGTTGGATCATGTGGAATGGTACACATGATAATTTTTCTCTGCTATATTAACACTAATAAACATACTATCCACTGGTATGGGATGTGTTAATATTAATAAATTCGCTGAGCAAAGAATCTCTCATTTCACATGCTCAATTAGTACATTGCATAATTAAAATCCACAGGAGCTTTTATTCTAAAGCATGTGGAGCTATTAGCTCTTCCATGATACTCCAACAGTGCTTGCTTTTATGTGGGAAAATATATTCTTCCAAAGATGGGAGTGTTGGCTCTGGCTCTCACTGCAAAACAAAAGCTGAATGTTATTTTCACTTTTGCCTTTTCCATAAAAGTGAAATCCTCTTCAGATTTTTCAGTTAACAGAAGCATGTACTAATGTAGATCTTTTGTAAAAGTGGAGTGGAGTGATGGGAACTTTCGAGAAGCAGAGGGAATACTTGTATTTCCTCTCCCACCCACTGACAAGGCTGAGAAGCAATGGCAATCCAGTCGCAGTGAGCACCCCTGCTGCCCAGGCTCTTTGGAGATATGGCTAATTTCAAGTCCTGGATGGAAACTATTAAATGAACCTGGAACATCTTTTCAAACCTTAACTACTAGGGATCATATCGAAAGGATGCAGAAACCAACCTGAAGAGGTAGACTAATTTAAAATATGAAAACAACTACCATGGACTAAAATACATTAAAAATACAAATGTTAACTCATATTGGTCATTTTTGTACCAAAATTGATAGAGGGAAATAATTGAAAATACATTCTGCCTTTTCCTGTATAGACTATATTTTACAATCACCAAATCGTCAATGAGGCAAGTTCTTCATTATAGAGGAATTAGAGCTAATAAATGCAGGAAGAATAATAGAATTATTATTACCAGTTTCAACCTCTAGTGCAATGATAGATCTAAGCAACAAACATTTATATCTGCTAAAACCTTTCGATGAAAGGTCATAAAGAACTTCATAACAGAAGGGTCAGGCTGACAACACCTTGGACCCACTGCTCAATCTTAGCCTCACTGAAAGTGGGAGAAGCGCATCCTGATATGATGTAATAGGATTGCACAGCACCACCTTTGATGTATTCTTGGTCAGAAGAAATTGAAACTGAATCTAGATCTAACTACTGGTTTACACAAACTACAAAGGGTAAAGGAACATGTTAAATGACACCATGAGAATAAAAATTAGCCAGTCCCAGAATGTGGAAATTGTTAAAAGATAAATGATCTGGTTTCTTCCATAAATAAATGGTAATGAAAGGAAGGACAGTGGACAGGAAGTGATTAAAAGGGAATTAAGATACTTATTGACCAAGTGTAATGTGTAGACCTTGTTGGGATCCTGTTCCAAACAAGCCAACTATAAAAAGAAATGTTTTTGGACGTTTGTGAAAATTAAACATGGACTGTATAAGATGATATTAAGAGAATTGTCTATAATAATAAAAGTGTAACATGCAAATTGATACAACAGTGGAATGACCATCCAAATTCGGACTAAGCCGGGGCTGCGAAGGCCTACTCTTACACAGATTTCGTGCATAGGGCCTCTAGTTGGTAATATTGTTGGATGTGAAGATGGTATTGTTATGGTGCTGTTTTTAATTTTTTTCTTAAGCCCTATCTGAGATGCCTTCTGAAATATTTAGTGGTCACATGGTATGATATCTGGGATTTACTTTACTCCTGGTCTACCAAAACACACATACACACTGAAGTGTGATGGATAGATTAATTAAGAATAATAGAAAGTTAATGATTATAGAAGCTGGATGGTGGGTACAGGTGGATTTATTGAGCTCTTATTTTAGTTTTATGTGTATTTTCAAAATAATGAGGATATTTTTTTCACTTGTTTTTTGGAAGTTCTCCCACCAGATTAGCCCAGATTGGCTTAGATCATTATAGCAGTGCCTTCTCAGCAATATTTTAGGTTTTAGGTGAAAGTCTTAGTATGTAGGGACATTATACTTGCAGATCATAGGGGAAGAAAGGTTTCTTGCTGTAGCCTATTACGATAGCTTTTCATCCAGTTAAATTTTTCTTTTCATCCAGTTAAATTTTGTGAGTTAAAATTACTTCATAGAAATAAAGAACTCTGCTTAGGTGTAGTGTCGTTAACAAGTTTATATGCCAAAAATACACTGACAATTCCCCCCCCCCCCCCTTTTTTTTTAGACCAAACCACCCTGGTAGAACAAGTAAAAAGAGTAAAAGAAATTGAAGCCATTGAAAGTGATTCTTTTGTTCAGCAGACATTCAGATCAAGTAAAGAAGTCAAAAAGGTAAGTTTTCATCCAGGTATTATGAATAAACCTTTAGATTCCAACTGAAGAGATGCTTTATTAATGGATTTCACTTAAATGTAAGAGCTTCTGCTAATAGATAGATGAAGTAGGGTGAGAGAGTGTCAGCATGTTATTGAGAGAGAGAGAATGAACCAGTGAGAATCAGTTTAAGTTTAATTTGTCAAAAAATATACTGTAAAAATGTGTCTGATGCCATTTTTATTTTAAAATTCACTGAAAAGACCAAGTAAAATGTCAACACAGTTCACAACAATAATATGCATTTCATGAACATAATACATGATTTTCTTTTCAAGCATATATACTGGTATCTACTTTTTGAATTCTCATTGCTAGAGAAAAGTTAGAAAAGGCCTTTAACAATGAAATTATACCCAAATAGTAACATATATCTATACTCTTGCCAGATGGGTATCTAGTAAAAGGGGCTTTGATTAGCATTTTATTTCTGTTGAATATTTTGTGTGTGCTTTCAGTCATAATTAAGGCTGCTTTTGGGAATATATGTTCCTTTGGTAGGAAAAGACATTTTACTATGAAAATACATGTAATCTTTAGTAACACATCTGACAAAGACATGGTATACTTACCAATTACTCAAAAATATTCTACATGTATACATAAGTTAATGACTGAGAGAACCAAGATGGAGCAGGGGCCTCTGCCTCCATAAGGAACCTTTTTAAATCTATGTGAAGGAAGCCCATCTTCTGTTTCAACTATTTTTAAAACAGTTTTTTCTTCACAATGATCATAAAAAGCAATAAAATCAATTCTGGAAACCCTACAAATAGCTAGTTTTAGGTTGGATAAGTATGGCAGAGAAGCAAAAATAGCCTAGAAATGTTATTAATTCAGCACTGTGAGTTGAGTCTGTTAGAAATGTATTTAGTTAAAATATTTTACCAACATTTTTATTTCTTTCCTCCAAAAGCAAGACCAACTTGCAGACATCTTGGGTTTAGCAATTGGGAAGCAGTGGTCAAAAAGCATAAAATGTAGAGTCAGACAGACTTGGAAACACATTCTGATTCTATTTACTATCTACATCCTTAAACTATATAACCTTATTAAACCTTGGCTTTCTTATCTTCAAATGGGGATAATACCCATGGCAGAGGTCTTTAAAAGATAAACAAGATACTGTACGTAGAACAGTTAGCCAAGTGCCTGGCACACAGGAAGACTCCAGAAATGAAAGCTGTTTACTACTCTTCTTCTCCTGCTCCTGCCCCACCTCCTCCTCTTACTGAACACTGAGGGATATATTTGTCGATGGCTTCCTAAAGAGGAATTGTAGGTACAAGGATTCCCATTGTGGTTGGACCAGAGATTGTTGTAATTTTTTATGGTTTCTATACCTTGACCTATTGTATTACCAGCAAAATAGTTAAAAATTACTTCAGAGCTTTATGTAGCTTTAAATTTGCTGGTTTCCTGTATAGGCATCAGCTTTGGACCAGTTTGTTTCAACACAGCAATTTGAAAACATTAAAGCACTGAGCAAATTATGAGAAACAATGTTGTATCCTAGCCCCACTTTTTAAATTTAACTTAAATGTCTGCCATTAATAGCAGACATTTAACATATATAATTTATCTAATATCCCAATAACCGTTATTTATAGCTAAGGAAGCTGAAGCTCAGCAAATTTTATAACCATGGTCAAACTGCTAGTAAATGACAAGAAGCAGCATCTAAATCAAATTTGTCCAACTCCAGAGCCTCTTTTTCCTATTATTAAATGTCTAGTAATTGTGAACGCAATGAACCTTCCCTGTTGTAATATAAAGAAAGCATGCATTGAAATATAGTAAGTGGCACCAACAGGGGAATATGCTAAAAAGCCTCAGAAGATGGCATTTACCTTGGTGAATGTACAATAGGATTAGCTATACAACACTAGACTTTTATTAGTCACTGCATTTCAAAATGATCAGAAAAGCAGTGATGGGCCAACAATGAATAAATTCCAATTCAACTATATATAAAACAGGACCAATCTTAGTTTAGAAAGTGATATTCTGTTTTTAGTTTCTAAAATGTCTGTGTCTCCAGTATATGGTAGGAATTCAGGATGCCCACGAAGCTGAATTATTTATTAGGAGATTACTTAGCACAGGGAGGTAAATTATCTTGAGTACTGTTTAATCCAGATCATGGGAGAGGTGATGGGGTATCCCTGATGCATAGCAAAGACTCTCTTGAGGACTAAATTACCCATGACCCAAGTTTCAACATCTTTCTCTCCTGGAAAGTTCTACACTCATTGGTATAAAGTTTATATCTAAAAAAGGCTTTTCTATACTATCCACCCTTTCAGTTGGTAGAGTCTTTAGCAATGTTAATTCCACTAATTAAGCTAGGGAGCCGTTACCAGAAAAGTGGCTGTTACTAATGACATGCTAGACACAGTGTCGTCTGCAACACTTATCGATTGGACTAGTTTCACCCTCTGCAATCATGTTTCTCTTGTGAGTAATCTAATAGCTCCCGGTATATCATCAACATCAGGAACAAGATGCAGCTTGTTTTCAGACTGCTGTCCATAATAATATGACCAGTTATTCATCCCTTAAATTGTTATATCTGGCAGATATCCGCCTCTGTTTAAAAAGAGGGTAATTTGTTCTTTAACTTGAAGTACAATTTGAAAACAATTTTTTCCAAACTGAACCACCAGGTGGCAGTACTGTTCAAAGACGGATGTTAGTGGCCATGTTTAGGGTTTTTTAATCATCAAATTTTATTTTCTTCACTTAAATAAAGAAGCAATTAATGATTGTTTTCACACATTTTTAATTATGTATTATTATATAATAACTTCCATGTTCTGATTCAAACCTCTGAGAACTTCACTTATGTTTGCATAAGAACTTCTCAAAGAAATATGTACAGTGAAGGTAAAAAATAGAATACGGTTACTTAGTTTTTATAATAAAATATTATCTCTGCCATACTTTTGGCAATTAGAATAACAGCACACCACAATTTTTCAAGGCAGTTGCACACAGACAGCTAGTCTCCTAACTAAGCCCTATCAGAGAACGGCCGAGATATGCAGAATGGCATGCTCTTCTAGTCTCTGCACAGCAACATAGACTACCAAACAGTGATGTCCTGGACCTCACTGGATTAGGATACTCCCATTTTTCTCCTTGCAGAATATTGGGTTTAATCTATGTCTTCAGTTTTATGAAGAGTCAGTATAATATCTTCTAAATAAGGATTGCGAATCTTATAGGCCCAGTATGTTGGAGTCATAGAAATATTTGAGACCTTGGGGGGAAAAGTATTGGCTCCAAAATATAAGAATAGAACTTTCAATTCAAATTTAACAAATATTTCTTTAAATATTTCTTATGTCGCTTGTTACAATTTGTGTTTATATATGTATTATTATGTACTAGAGGCCCGGTGCATGAAATTTGTGCACGTGGAGGGGGTTCCCTCAGCCCAACCTGTACCCTCGCCAATCTGGGAGTCCTCAGGGGATGTTCTACTGACGGCTTAGGCCTGCTCCGCATGGTTCTCTGCGCTCTGCAGGGCCTGCCTGCTCAACGCCGCAGTGACGGGCAAGCAGGCCCTGCTGTCTGCTCTCTGCGGTGCCCACTTGCCGGCTCGCCTGGTCACCGCGGTGACCCGCAAGCAGGCCCTGCTGTCTGCTCTCTGCAGGACCCACTTGCCGGCTCGCCCCCCGGCGGGACTGAAAGGTCTGGAGGACTCCTGGGGGTGGGTCCAGCTGCACCGCCTGCCTGCTACTCCCCCGGCGGGGCTGAGAGGACTGGGCACTGCCATCTTGTGGTTATGGGCACCGCCATTCATATTCCCTCTTTATTAGATAGGATTATTTGTTAGTAATTTGTCAGTCCCATTAGGAAAATGTAATCTCCAATTGGGACAGGGAACATAACTATTTTATTCTCTTTGTGTACTCAGTGCTTAGCAGTTAGTAGTACTTAATAAATACTGGTTAAATAGATGGATTTTTAATTCTAAGGTAAGTTATTCTAAGAAAGGATTAACTCATTCATGCCTATTTCATTTTTTTTCTATATGATTTTCTCAGTGAAATCTGTTTTGCCCTTCATTTAGAGAAGTGAGTGTTCAGAAGTAGACAGGTCAAAAAGAAAATGGAAATTGAAAAAACAATAGGTGTAGAGCCAGTAGGTATAGAAAGGGAGCTAAGAAGTTGAATTAATCTCCCAATTGTCTTCATTTTTTTATTTTAATTTTTAATTTCAACTTCTCATCTAATCCATTTCATATTATCCCTGAAACCTTGCTGCTAATAACTGCTTCCCTGGCTTTCTTCTTTCTTAGGGGAGGAAATATTGGAACCATCCCGAGTTAGCACCAAACTGCTGGCTCCTTCCTGGCAGGAACGATGATTTATTAGTCTTTTTGTCCCCAGCCCTTAACACAGTGCCTATATTATTCAGCAATAAAACTGAATGAAGTACTGATATGTGAATAACATGGATGAGCCTTGAAAACATTATGCTAAATGAAAGAAACCAGTCACTAAAAAACACATATTGTATGATTTCTTATATATGAAATGTCCAGAATAGACAAATCCATAAAGACAGACAGATTAGTGGTTGCCAAGGGTTGGGAAGAAATGGAGAGTAGTGACTTCTAATGGGTATGGAGTTTTGGAAAGGATGATGAAATGTTTTAAAGTTGCTTGTGGTGATGGTTACAAAACTCTCTGGGTATGCTAAAAGCTATATGATTTTCAATATGTGAATTATATCTCAGTAAGACTGTTATTTTAAATAAATAAATAAATAACCTATGACTTCGCTTTTTATACTTAAAGAGGCCAACTAAATGCTGGAGATTTGTTGCAACCTTGTTTTGTAATAGAATTTACATATATGAAATATATTTTTTTTAATAGTGTGGACTCCAAGTACCAATTTCTTAAAATTATGCTGATCATAAGAAATGATAAGCATTTTCCCAATGTTTTTGTATTTGTTTGCTTGTTTGGGGAATAATTATTTTTTTTTAATAACCTAGGGCTTCTTCATGATGACTTTCATCTCAAAAGAGACTATTGAGCAATTATTATTCAAAATCAGAAATATTATTAAAGCAGAATTGTAATTGTATATTGTGATGCAATTAATAATATGTGTTTTATCTCAGTCGGTGGAAGCCAGTGAAGTGAAGCATGTACCTGCAGCATCAGGACCAGTGTCAGTAGCTGCTGATCTACCCAGTAATGAAAAAGAAATAGACCCGAGCAGCATCCCTACTGCTATCAAGTACCAAGATGACAATTCTCTGGCTCATCCGAACGTAAGATCCTTAAACCTAAGACTGTCAGTTGAAGTCTAGTTGACTGAAATGAATTCAGACTGTTGCCCTTTTGTGTTGGCAACAAGACGACCATTGAAGGAAATGGATTCATATGTTCCAATTTGCTAAAAGTAGGCAACTGACCCCCCACCCCCCAGCCCTTGGAGCTGTTACATGTATTTGACTATGGTATGTCCAACTCATGTTGCCTGACTTCTAGAAGAAGTATTTCTATGACTAAGAAAAATAGACAGAAAGAGGAGTTTTGTTGTGTTTTTAATCTGGCACTAAAAGATCAGATTCAGGCTCAGCTTAGATGGTTCATTGACTATGAACTTGTCATGGACATACTTTGCTGTCTTCTGTGAAATGCTGTCATTTCACTCGGTCTCTCAGAAAGATTGTAGGAAATAAACTTCACAAAATCCTATATAATAAAAGGCTAATATGCAAATAGTCTAAACGGTGGAACAACTGAACAACCAGTCGCTATGACATGTGCTGACCACCAGGGGGTGTGCGTGGAAAATGACAGGTGTTGGGCGTGGCAGGATGGTGGAGCCAGGTGAGCAGGGGCGCCAGACCACGGTGGGGCACCAGTCGCTGTCATCGGGGCAAACCTCTGGTGCGTTACTAAAAATTCTTTGCTCCTGCATGCTGCGGTCCCACCTGGCGCTCACACCTACTGCTGGCGCCAGCCCCACTCGTAGGGTATAAAATTGTTAACCAAATGATGTTGATATTAGTCCTTTTAATCCAAAACTATCTGATCATTATTAATTCCAAATAGATGATCTTCAGTTAAGAAGTCATAGAGTTAAACAGTATTCAAATCTTGTGCTGAAAGATGTATTTCATAAAGGTGCTTTGCATCATGTAAGGTCAAACCCCAGTGATTAGTACACAATAACATTTTTTCTTTTTCCTTTTTATTTCAGTTATTTATTGAGAAAGCTGATGCTGAGGAGAAGTGGTTCAAGAGATTAATTGCTCTTCGACAAGAAAGGCTAATGGGCAGTCCTGTGGCCTAATTAATACATATGGTTGAATTAACAGTAACATTGGAAATTTAGGTTTTTATATCCCATTTTAACTTTTTACTCTTATAAAGAATTGACCCAATTATATAAAAAGGTAATCTCATTTAATTCATTTCTCATGTGGGCTTGAATATTTGTTGACTTGAACTTAAACACTGTGAATATTAAAACTAGTGTAAAATTGAGGAATGCATGAAAATCCCTGCTGTTAATAAAGCTAATCCTAAAAATATCAATGTTAAAGTAAATGGCACACAGTATCATTTCTAAGTACAATTTTTAAAATATCAACTGTCATTTAAAGACACTATTTGATCATGCATATATGAGAATCAAACTATATGCTATAAATATGAGATTTCATCTTCCATGTCTTTGAATCTTTTATTTCACCTTACTGGGAAATTTTAGGAACAATAAAAAGCATTCTTAACAATCTAAGCAGAATGAGCATGTTAATATTTAAAGAACAACATATTTATTGAAAAAATTTCTTAAAGATCAAATTGATGTCTTATTGCTTAGAGATCAGCTTTTACTAAGTTCCTTTTAAACATGTTAGCAGATCCCACTCGTTCTTTTAGAAATCACATGCTCATGCTAGACCTAACCACTTGGCAAAATGTCCATGACAGGGAAGTCATTTCCAAGGAAACAGGTAAGAGCTCTCGCTTCAGTCTTACTTAGCCATCTGCTGTTCTCTGTAGAGGAAGCCAACTAGTTGTAATGTTGAGAAGCCTCTGTCACTGTAGAATACCTTTCTCTAGTGGCTGAATGAAAATCAACTATGCATTCCATACTGAACATGCCAGAGATAAGGGCTTTTAGTCCTTGCCTTTAGTTTTCAACAGCTGAAATAAATACTTCCCTCCCCTATTTTGTTCTGTTGTTTGCTCTCACTCTAATTTAGTCTCTATGAAGACTGTACCTCAGAATACAATATAAGCATGAACAGTTTTGGGGATAAAATTACCAATTTATAGGACATCTAATGATTTTTTTTCTGAAACCAGTAAAATTTAATCCTTGTTAAAAATGAAAAATATAAAGCCCTGGCCGGTATTTCTCAGTGGGTAGAGCGATGGCCCATGCACTGGGGGATCTTGGGTTCAATTACCAGTCAAGGCCATGTACCTGGGTTGTGGGTTCGCTCCCTGCCCCCTCCCTGGTTCAAGGCACATGTGGGAGGCAACCAGTTGATGTGTCTCTCACATCAATGTCTGTCTGTCTCTCTGTCTCTCTCTCTCTCCCCCCCCACAAACCCCCTTTCTCTCTCTCTCCCCTCCGTCCACTCTCTCTGAAAAGCAATCGAAAAAATATCCTATGGTGAGGATTAACCAAAAAAAAAAGACAAAAAACTATAAAGAGCTTACATTTAATTGCAAAAGGTATGGAAAAGAGACTGATGATAAATACGTGTTTTTATACAAACATGTTTTCACATTCTAAATAAATGCTAGTGTTCTTTTTCTTTAGCTGTTAGTGCCCAGTATGAACTCAGGTTTGTATGGTTTTTAATCTAGATATATACATTTTTAGTGACTTTAAGAAAAGATTACAGTTTCTGAAATATTTTTTTATTTTATTCTTTGCATAACTTGTAAGTTGTAAAAGTATTTTCACCCTTCTGAAAAGTATACTGTAGTGGTCCAGGCAAGAATATGGGTTGTCATTGGGCCTATCAGTGATTCTCCAAAGAACCTGAACTAGGTGTTTTTTTCGCAGTATGACTAACATTCCTCATCTATAAAATAGTGAAAATATTATGATCCACTCTAATTATATGTAACTCCAGTGTTCCTCTGTGGTAAGTAGTTCAAATACAAAAACTTGAACTGCAAGAGATTTGTATTTTAAAGGTACATTTTTTTATAGAAATAAAGAATTGGTTATCTTTTTAATTAATTAACTAAACTTTAGTCCCTGCAGGAACTCAATGACTATTTGCCCTTCTTGCTGATTTTCAGTATGATTAATTTTAATGCATTAACTGCGCTTATCTGTGTTCCTATTGAAGACTACAGTATTACCACACATGCCAAATCAAATTTAATGAAAAAGACTCATAGAACACCATCAAACACATCACCGAGCTCAGGCCTTCTTTAGTATCCTAACATAATAAGTCTAAAACAGAACAGTACCTTTCATGTCACTTGAATAATGATAACAATTTGGACCTACATGAGACCTCAAAGTGTTTTTTGAAATGTTGATTTTGTGTAAAATGATGAGTACTAATAATACAAGTTGGATTTTCATTTCTGAGGTGAGTACATTCTTAGGGAAAATGAATAAGAGAACTTTCCTGGCACTCCCTAATTAAGAGAATAAGATACATAAGGATATAAGGACAGGACACACTTCAGGCATCCGAGCCTGTGAAATGAGGATACCAATAGTGGACTTGCCTACTGTGATTTATTTTCAGTAAAATTACCTAAAAGAAATCCATTCATAGGAAAAGTTTACTATTTATGCCAATGGAACATTTTGGCATGGTAGCCATCTTAATGAAATGAGCAAATAGTTGCACGGATAATGATTTAAAAAGCTACATCCTAATTTCAATGTAGTGTACTCCCTCAGTTTGTATTTGAACTACTATAGCCAATAGACCCCATTCCAGCTCTCCCCAGTTTTCCCAGATTTCCCTCCCTGCCAAGACCACAGGAAACCATACTTGCTGCACTGTTAGTGACCTAACTGACTTAAGGAATTGTAGGTCTTCGGTCAGATTTACCCACTTTTTAGTAAAAGGCGAAAGATTTATGCGGTCTGAAGAGAAGCCAGAGCATAGATTTACCCACTTTTTAAACCTGTTTTTAAATACCTAGCTTGGGCCAGGCACAGTAAGGGCAGTTGAGTATACAAAGGCTTAGTTGTGAAGCCCAGCATGTATATGGCATAAGAGATACAATATTTAGTAGCAGAGGAGAGGACATGGTTGCAAAGAAGAGAGAAATTACTCCAAGTTACAGAATTAAGGAGGGCTTAATGGAAGAATTCACAACTGAGCGAAGATCTGAAAGGATAAGAAAGCTCCTGAAGCCACAAGAACTCACCTCCATCCCCTTCCTTCCTTCTGATAGCTGCTCTAGAAGGCTGGGAACTGCTGCAGCTCTAACCCAGGGAAGAGTCCCTTTTGTGAAAGACCCAAGTGGCCCTTCCCTCTCAATCATATTAAAAATCCAGGCATAATTTTAGGTTCCTGGTCACTCTGGCATTCTCTGGCCATTCCTTCCTCTTGGTGGAGAATAAGCTTACTCTTCATTTGGCCCCTAGCATCAGCAGTCTTGCATCACCCACCACTGCTTGTCAGCCAAGATGACATGAGCCGAGATGTGCAATGGCACCTGAAAGGAAACTTTCACTACCTCTAAGAATGAATTACATCTGCCAATAAGGCCTTGCTTGGCCATGTGGATCACTGTGTGCTCCCTGATACTCTTTGTCTTTCTACTGTATGTTATAGAAAGCATCAGTTTGAAGTAAAAGACACAGTTCACTTGCCTGTGGTTAGATCCTTCCACAAATTTCCTTTGGTTTAGGCAACAAGTGAAAAATCTTTCAGTGAGCAAATAAGATAGGGAAAAAAACCTAGAAATGAATCAAGACATGGAAAATTTTTGGTCACTAAACTATGGATGAATTAATCTAGAATTCTTATACCCATGTTACTCCTTTCCCCCTTTTCCCATCCCTAAAATTCCTTGTGAGTATTATTACAGAAGAGATTTTAAATCAGCCCTTGGCCGTTACTCAATTGATACTGTGCTTGAATTACTTAGAAAATGTTTGAATGCCATCCTTTAGAACTTCCTTATGGAATAACGGAAAAACAAATAATCTTGATCTGAGTCCTGACAGCAGAACAGGAATAAAAGTGGAGGTAAGAAAGAACACTGAATTCTCAAATCATCTTCATCTTTTATCACAGGGATGGACATTGATCAATATATTCAGCTCTGGTGGGTTGTTGTGTTTTTTTTTCTAAATCAAAGAAAGTGTTCTGTTATAATATATTTCTACGTTATTTTTGCTATTATATCCCCAGAAGCTAGTTCATGCCTGACACCAAAGAAAGCTTTCAATACATGTTTTTTTTATGAAAGAAGAGTGGATTTGTTCATGTCAAATGGGCAGTCTAATTAACAGTCTGGTTATTTAAATTACTCAAGCTATTCGGAGCCAGTGCAAAAATAAATAGGTGTTTGGGTATATACCTAAAATAATTACATTATGCCAAGTGAAATAATCCAATTACAAAAAGACAGATACTTTATGATTCTACTTATAGAAGGTTCTTAGAGTAAGTAGTCAAAATCATAAACAAAGAAAGTATAATGGTGAAAGTATAATGAAGAAAAAGGTGAATTATTGTTTAATGAGTATAAAGTTTCAGTTTTACAAGATGAAAACAGTTAAGGGAATGGATGGTGGTGATGGTTGCACAACAATGTAAATGTATTTAAAACCCTGAACTATACACTTAAAAATGGTTAAGATGGTAACTTATATGTGCATTTTACCACAATAAATATATGTAAATATGTATACATGTATATAAGATAAATAAATAGATGAGGTTTATAACCCAACTAGAGGCCTGGTGCACAAATTCGTGCACCAGCGCGGGGGAGTCCCTCAGCCTGGCCTGCGGGATCGAACCAAAACCGGCTCTCCAACATCCCCTGAGGGGTCTGGATTGCAAGAGGGCACAGGCCAGGCCGAGGGATCCCACTGGTGCAGGATCAGGGCTGTGTGAGAGACACAGGAGGTTGGCCAACCAGAGAGGGACCACGGGAGGGCTCCAGGGCATGTCTGGCCCATGTTGCTCAGTCCCAATCGGCCAGACCCCAGCAGCAGTAAACTAACCTACTGGTCAGAGTGTCTGCCCCCTGGTGGTCAGTGCATGTCATAGTGAGCGGTTGAGTGGCCTTAGCATATCATTAGCATATTATGCTTTGATTGGTTGAGCAGACGACCAGTCGACTGGACACTTAGCATATTAGGCTTTTATCATATAGGACTAGAGGCCCGGTGCATGAAATTCGTGCACTGGGGGGTGGGGGTCCCTCAGCCCAGCCTGCCCCTCTCACAGTCCGGGAGCCCTCAGTGGATGTCCTACTGACGGCCACAGTCTGGCAGCAGAGGCTCGGAGCAGGCGTCCTGTGTGTGTGTGTATGTGTGTGTGTGTGTGTGTGTGTGAGTGTGTGTGTCTGCTGGGGGCCTGCCCCCAGCCACACCGTGCAGGCTTGGAGCAGGCGCCCCTCTGTGTTGATCTCTCAGGCTCCTGGCCTCCACTGCGTGTTTTTCTCTCTCTTGAGCTGAGGCCAGGGTGGGGTGCTGCCTGCAGGCTGTGCTTTCCTGCTCATGGATCACCGGATCACTGCAGAGACCAGGGGCAGGCCCTGCTGGGTGCTGCCTGTGGGGAACTTTCCTGCTCTGGGATCGCCATGGGGTCCCAGCTGGCAGCGGGGCTTAGGCGGCGCAGGGCTTAGGCGGCACACAGGGTTCCTGGCTGAGGGCGGGGCTTAGGCGGTGGGGGCTTAGGCGGCACAGGGGGGTCCTGGCTGGGGCGGGGCTTAGGTGACCAGATCGCGCTGCCTAAGCCCGGCTGCCTAGGGCTGCACACAGGGCCCGGATGGCGTCTGGCACTGGCCAGCCCTGCCTGCAGTATGCAAATTAGCCACCATCTTTGTTGGTGGCTAATTTGCATACGGCGCTGATTAGCCAATGGGAAGCGTAGCGAAGGTATGGTCAAATACCCTTTTTGTCTTTTATTAGATAGGATTAGTTTGGTTTCTCTGATTTATATCTCCAAATGCCTCTGAGCTAACAGAGGCCTTTGGAGGGGTACAGAGTACATAGGGACTAACGGGAGGCTAGACTGTAAGCAAGAATCTTACTTGTCCTATCCTTGCCCAAACTTTCTGGTTTAATTTTTTTATTGTGTAAATAAAACTTCAAATGA